GGGCATGTGTGTAAACAATGCACCATGGGCATGCGTGTAAACAGTGCACCATGGGCATGCGTGTAAACAGTGCACCATGGGCATGTGTGTAAACAGTGCACCATGGGCATGCGTGTAAACAGTGCACCATGGGCATGCGTGTAAACAGTGCACCATGGGCATGCGTGTAAACAGTGCACCATGGGCATGCGTGTAAACAGTACACCATGGGCATGCATGTAAACAGTACACCATGGGCATGCGTGTAAACAGTACACCATGGGCATGCGTGTAAACAGTACACCATGGGCATGCGTGTAAACAGTACACCATGGGCATGCATGTAAAGAGTACACCATGGGCATGCGTGTAAACAGTGCACCATGGGCATGCGTGTAAACAGTGCACCATGGGCATGCGTGTAAACAGTGCACCATGGGCATGTGTGTAAACAGTACACCATGGGCATGCGTGTAAACAGTACACCATGGGCATGCGTGTAAACAGTGCACCATGGGCATGTGTGTAAACAGTGCACCATGGGCATGCGTGTAAACAGTGCACCATGGGCATGCGTGTAAACAGTGCACCATGGGCATGCGTGTAAACAGTGCACCTTGGGCATGCGTGTAAACAGTGCACCATGGGCATGTGTGTAAACAGTGCACCATGGGCATGCGTGTAAACAGTGCACCATGGGCATGCGTGTAAACAGTGCACCTTGGGCATGCGTGTAAACAGTACACCATGGGCATGCATGTAAAGAGTACACCATGGGCATACAAACAGACAGAAAAAGATCTAAAGCAGAAAGAGAACGCAGACGACACTATAAAAGAAGGAAAAAATAACGGAACTGCTTAAGCAGACACGACTTTCCCGTCAAAGAAGGAATAATTTAAATAGGGAGATTGAAGAAATCGAGCGGAAATTGAAACACTCATATCAGACTGAAGAATGGCAGTTAGAACAGAAAGCAATTCAGGAAATAAAGAAAAATCCAAAATACTTCTTAACATATGCGAAATCAAAAGCAAAAACCACTGCCAGTATTGGACCTGTTCGTATTAGTGAAGTTTCATACACGGAGGATGACAAAGAAATTAGTGAAATCCTAAAAAAGCAGTATGAGGACATGTTTAGCACTCCGATATACAGCATGAAAGTGGAAGATCCGGACAACTTCTTTATGCGGGATATCCAAACCCCTGTAAATATAACTGATATCAACACGAGCGTGGCAGATTTTGAAAGATAAATTGACAATATGCCCATGCACTCAGCCCCGGGTCCAGACTCATGGAATTCAATATTTAACAAGAAATGCAAAATGCCAGTAGCACAGGCACTCGGTATAGTGTGGAGGAAGAGCTTGGACACGGGAGAGATACCAGATGCGCTTAAAGTAGCAGACATAGCCCCTCTACACAAGGGAGGGAGCAAAGCATTGGCAAAGAATTATAGACCAGTTGCATTAACGTTCCACATAATAAAAGTATTTGAGAGAGTGATCAGGAGTCAGGTCACTAGTTTCATGGAGACCAATGACCTCCACAACCCAGGTCAACATGGATTTAGAGCAGGAAGCTCAAGCCTCTCACAGCTACTTGACCATTACGACAAAATCACTGAGGCATTAGAAGAAAAACAGAATGCAGATGTGGTATTCACGGACTTCGCAAAGACTTTCGATAAATGTGACCATGGAGTGATAGCACACAAAATGAGGTCAATGGGAATAACCGGTAAAGTAGGACGCTGGATACTCAGTTTTCTGTCAAACAGGACTCAGCGAGTAACTGTCAACCATATAAAATCGAGTCCAAGCGCAGTTAAAGGCTCTGTATCTCAGGGTACAGTCCTTGCACCGCTGCTTTTCCTTATTCTCATATCAGATATAAAGAAAAGTATAAGTCACAGCTTCGTGTCATCCTTTGCAGATGACACAAAAATCAGTATGAAAATTACCTCTGCTGTAGACATTGAAAAACTTCAAGCGTATATAAATAAAGTTTTCGACTGGGCAACAGAAAATAACATGATGTTTAACAGTGATAAATTCCAGGTACTCAGGTACGGCAAAAATGAGGACCTTAAACATAATACAGGGTACAAAACACAATCAAATTTGCCAATAGTAGGAAAACAGCATGTAAAGGATTTGGGAATAATGATGTCTGACGATCTAACGTTTAGGGAGCATAACCAAGCAAATATTGTGTCAGCCAGAAAAATGATCGGATGGATTATGAGAACTTTCAAATCCAGGGATCCCATCACAATGGTTGTACTCTTCAAGTCACTTGTGTTGTCCCGTCTTGAGTACTGCTCAGTACTCACTTTCCCCTTCAGAGCAGGAGAGATTGCTGAAATAGAGGGAATACAGAGAACATATACGGCACACACAGACGCAATAAAGCTCCTAAATTATTGGGATCGTCTCAAAGCTCTCCAAATGTACTCACTAGAAAGGAGACGAGAGAGATATCAAATAATATACACATGGACAAGTCAAAACAGTGCATTTGGGACCTGGAGGGCCAGGTCCCAAATCTACACAGTCAAATAACAACGTACTGGAGTGAACGATATGGAAGGAAATGCAGAATAGAACCAGTGAAGAGTAGAGGTGCCATAGGCACAATCAGAGAACACTGTATAAACATCAGAGGTCCGCGGTTGTTTAACACCCTCCCAGCGAGTATAAGAAATATTGCCGGAACAACCGTGGACATCTTCAAGAGGAAACTAGATGGTTTTCTTCAAGGAGTGCCGGACCAACCGGACTGTGGTGGGTATGTGGGCCTGCGGGCCGCTCCAAGCAACAGCCTGGTGGACCAAACTCTCACAAGTCAAGCCTGGCCTCGGGCCGGGCTTGGGGAGTAGAAGAACTCCCAGAACCCCATCAACCAGGTATTGGCATGCAAGTATACGGTACACCATGGACTTGTAAACAGGTGCACCATGGACTTGTATACAGGTGCACCATGGACTTGTAAACAGGTGCACCATGGGCATGTTAACAGGTGCACCATGGACATGTAAACAGGTGCACCATGGACATGTAAACAGGTGCACCATGGACATGTAAACAGTGCACCATGGACATGTAAACAGGTGCACCATGGGCATGTAAACAGTGCACCATGGACATGTAAACAGGTGCACCATGGGCATGTATACAGGTGCACCATGGACATGTAAACAGGTGCACCATGCACATGTAAACAGGTGCACCATGGACATGTAAACAGTGCATCATGGACATGTAAACAGGTGCACCATGGGCATGTAAACAGGTGCATCATGGACATGTAAACAGGTGCACCATGGACATGTAAACAGGTGCACCATGGACATGTAAACAGGTGCACCATGGGCATGTAAACAGGTGTATCATGGACATGTAAACAGGTGCACCATGGACATGTAAACAGGTGCACCATGGACATGTAAACAGGTGCACCATGGGCATGTAAACAGGTGTATCATGGACATGTAAACAGGTGCACCATGGACATGTAAACAGGTGCACCATGGACATGTAAACAGGTGCACTCTACACAGTACTGTACAGCGGTACTCACTAACAATTATCTGAACTCTCACATCAATATAGTGATTAGTTTTACAGTACATTTCATTGTTTATGCCTCAAAGTGAGCATTACGGTATACACATACCAGATTTAGGTATACACATACCAGATTTAGGTATACACATACCAGATTACGGTATATACATACGAGATTACGGTATACACATACGAGATTACGGTATACACATACGAGATTACGGTATACACATACGAGATTACGGTATACACATACGAGATTACGGTATACACATACAAGATTACGGTATACACATACGAGATTAAGGTATACACATACCAGATTAAGGTATACACATACAAGATTACGGTATACACATACGAGATTACGGTATACACATACAAGATTAAGGTATACACATACCAGATTAAGATATACACATACGACATTAAGGTATACACATACGAGATTAAGGTATACACATACGAGATTACGGTATACACATACCAGATTACGGTATACACATACCAGATTACGGTATACACATACGAGATTACGGTATACACATACAAGATTACGGTATACACATACGAGATTAAGGTATACACATACCAGATTAAGGTATACACATACGAGATTACGGTATACACATACGAGATTACGGTATACACATACGAGATTAAGGTATACACATACGAGATTAAGGTATACACATACAAGATTAAGGTATACACATACGAGATTACGGTATACACATACGAGATTAAGGTATACACATACGAGATTAAGGTATACACATACGAGATTACGGTATACACATACGAGATTAAGGTATACACATACAAGATTAAGGTATACACATTCAAGATTACGGTATACACATACGAGATTAAGGTATACACATACGAGATTACGGTATACACATACGAGATTACGGTATACACATACGAGATTAAGGTATACACATACGAGATTACGGTATACACATACGAGATTAAGGTATACACATACGAGATTAAGGTATACACATACGAGATTAAGGTATACACATACGAGATTACGGTATACACATACGAGATTACGGTATACACATACGAGATTAAGGTATACACATACGAGATTACGGTATACACATACGAGATTAAGGTATACACATACGAGATTAAGGTATACACATACGAGATTAAGGTATACACATACGAGATTACGGTATACACATACGAGATTAAGGTATACACATACGAGATTACGGTATACACATACGAGATTACGGTATACACATACGAGATTACGGTATACACATACGAGATTAAGGTATACACATACGAGATTACGGTATACACATACGAGATTACGGTATACACATACCAGATTACGGTATACACATACCAGATTTCCAACGTGTCAAACCCGCAACAAAATAACAAGTAACATTGGAGAAGAAAGGTGAGAAAGGTGAACACTCACGAGAGGCGAGACACACACCGTGGTGCGCGGGGTGACAGCGCCGTCCGTCAAGATGTGCTCGGGGTAGTGGGCAACCCGCGACTGGCCAGCCGTCCCCTCACTCACCACCTTCCCTACCACCACCTCAACCACCACCACCCCCTCAACCACCATCACCACCCCCGTCTCTCTCAATCATTCTTCACCTCTTCCGGTTTAACCTCCCCCCACCCCATGCCCCTCCCCTGCGGGGCACCATCCCCAGGGTAGTACAAGTTGAGAGGCACCCGGGGCCAGGTCTGGGCGGGTGCGCCTCCGTCACACCGGCGGATGCTCACTCTTAACAACTGTCCACAAAGATGTGTTGTGAGTCGCTGACCATCACACAACAAAGGCCACACCTCACACTACACACTACACCTGGAGCCGCCACTCTCACACACCTGCTGCTCCAACACCTTACAGCTACACCAGGCCAAGTGGCACTCAATACCTAAACATCAAGAGGCACTCAATACATAAACATCAAGAGGCACTCAATACCTAAACATCAAGAGGCACTCAATACATAAACATCAAGAGGCACTCAATACCTAAACATCAAGAGGCACTCAATACATAAACATCAAGAGGCACTCAATACCTAAACATCAAGAGGCACTCAATACATAAACATCAAGAGGCACTCAATACATAAACATCAAGAGGCACTCAATACATAAACACAGTATTAAGTACAAGGACAAGCACTACAAGCAAGCACTAAGGTGTGCAAGCACACTGTTACGGTACTGTGTGTGTACGCCAGGGGGTGACCCAGGGTGACGGGGGTTCGAGCCCTAGTCGGATCATACCGCACTTAGGTGATTTTTAGCTTGGGGCTTGTTTCATATGTGTATATGTATATGTATATGTATAAGCTGGTCAGAATTGCATTTCACTTTTGTAAAATGACAGTATTCACATAATGTGTCAATGAATATACCTCGAACACTGTTTATATAGGTCAGACGTAAATGTGTGTGTATATATATATATATATATATATATATATCAGGTTTATGTTTTGGTTAGGAGTAGTGCTTTTACTCCTTTACGGATTATTTCTTTCATTATTGAAAGAAATAATCCGTAAAGGAGTAAAAAGCACTACTCCTAACCAAAACATAAACCTGATAATATTCTACAAAACCAAGAAGACTTCCGAACTCCTTATCAAAAACAGCCCGAAGCCGACGGAGAACCCTCTACAGCAGTCAAGCGTTGTATACATGTACACTTGCCCCCACGAAGGATGTAACCTTCAATGTAAGTACATAGGTATGACGTTGACCAAGCTGACGAGGCGTTTGACCTGCCATCTTCAATCCGGTGCCCCTAGGAATCACATGAGACAAGCCCATGACATTACTCTAACAAGAGAAATGTTGAACAAGAATACTTGCATAATAGACAAAACCCAAGATTCAAGAAGATTACAAATTCTTGAGGCAATTCACATAAGAATAGAGCGACCTACCATGAACACCCAAATCACGGAACTATTTACTCTACCCACCATGAGAGTAAGGACAAGACAAGAACATATCGATGCCAACACAGAAGACAATGTCCAACATAACAGGCCAATTACACTGGATTAATCTTTGTGTTTAGATAGGAGATGCCTCGTATGGGCCAATAAGCCTTCTGCAGCCCCATGTTTATCCCTTATGTATCCCCCCATGTTTTCACCTTCATTGTATTATCACCTGACCTAATGCGGGTATAAAATCAACTAGTATTGTAAGATCTGTTCACTTGAGAATGAACCATGGAGGTTCGAAACGTCGTGCAAATTATACAAATAAGTGTAATACACTCTATAGTAAATCACTTCTTTTCTTCACCTTAAAAGTACGAAAATGAGTTTTGGAGAACTCCTATTTCAATTAAGCCCTGATGCTAAGAAAATAGTATATATAATATAAGAAATATAGTATATATTTAGAAATATAGTATTTATATATATTTATTTATATTTATATGTATTTATATACTAAGAAATATAGTATATATATATATATATATATATATATATATATATATATATATATATATATATATATATATATATATATATATATATATATATATATATATATATATATATATATATATATATATATATATATGTCGTACCTAGTAGCCAGAACGCACTTCTATGCCTACTATGCAAGACCCGATTTGCCTAATAAGCCATGTTTTCATGAATTAATTGTTTTTCGACTACCTAACCTACCTAACCTAACCTAACTTTTTCGGCTACCTAACCTAACCTAACCTATAAAGATAGGTTAGGTTAGGTAGGGTTGGTTATGTTCGGTCATATATCTACGTTAATTTTAACTCCAATAAAAAAATTGACCTCATACGTAATGAAATGGGTAGCTTTATCATTTCATAAGAAAAAAATTAGAGAAAGTATATTAATTCAGGAAAACTTGGCTTATTAGGCAAATCGGGCCTTGCATAGTAGGCTGAGAAGTGCGTTCTGGCTACTAGGTACGACATATATATATATATATATATATATATATATATATATATATATATATATATATATATATATATATATATATATATATATATATATATATATATAATATATAGAGATAATTATGTCTCTTGGTTAGTATTTTAAAGCACTACAGTCACCTATGGTTGATTGTTCAATAAATCACTGAACTATGTGACGTCTAGCAGACCTCCAACTCTGTCCATGGAGGACACAAAAAAATATATATATGCTGTTACAACGTAATTACGTCTTTTTCACTCGTATGCGCACTAAGGCCAAAAATGGTTGTAAAAAAAAAAAATGAAATCTGCTCACGAAAGTTACTTACTGTGCCGTTTTCTGTTTAGGTCCTCTGGCTTAGGCTGCTAGGTTAGGAGAGGAAACTTTCAATTAACGGTTTTCATGACGTTCTGAAACTTTAGAGAACTTCCTGCCCTCCTGACCTACCAGAAGACCCTTAACTTGCTGTTTTGGGCCCATTTCGTTTGGAAAATTAATTTTCATTTGTTAGAAAATTCCAGTACGGCAATGTTTTGGCCGTAGTGCATACGGGCGAGATGAGACGTAAATTGTAAGAGGACGGGCTGAGCGGTTAGCATTGTATGGCCACGCCTGTAGGAGTAAAATATAGAAAAATATACATATAAACATTGACCGGAGCACTGATCCATGTATACTCAAACGCTGAAGGTATACATATAAACACTGACCGGAGCATTGATCTATGTATACTCACAAACACTGAAGGTATACAAGTCAAATTCGACAAAAATTTCGAACGTCAGAATAGTTAAATGATAACGTGACGGGTACACCCAGGCTACAGGCTGGGACCAGGAGCTACACCCCCCCCCCGTAGACACTAACGTGACGGGTACACCCAGGCTACAGGCTGGGACCAGGAGCTACACCCCCCCGTAGACACTAACGTGACGGGTACACCCAGGCTACAGGCTGGGACCAGGAGCTACACCCCCCCCCCGTAGACACTAACGTGACAGGTACACCTAGGCTACAGGCTGGGACCAGGAGCTACACCCCCCCCCCCGTAGACACTAACGTGACGGGTACACCTAGGCTACAGGCTGGGACCAGGAGCTACACCCCCCCGTAGACACTAACGTGACGGGTACACCCAGGCTACAGGCTGGGACCAGGAGCTACACCCCCCCCCCCGTAGACACTAACGTGACAAGTACACCCAGGCTACAGGCTGGGACCAGGAGCTACACCCCCCCCGTTATCTTGAGGGCAATGGTTATCTTGAGATGATTTCGGGGCTTTAGTGTCCCCGCGGTCCGGTCCTCGACCAGGCCTCCACCCCCAGGAAGCAGCCCGTGACAGCTGACTAACACCCAGGTACCTATTTTACTGCTAGGTAACAGGGGCATAGGGTGAAAGAAACTCTGCCCATTGTTTCTCGCCGGCGCCTGGGATCGAACCCAGGACCACAGGATCACAAGTCCAGCGTGCTGTCCGCTCGGCCGTCCGGCTCCCGTAGACACTAACGTGACGGGTACACCCAGGCTACAGGCTGGGACCAGGAGCTACACCCCCCCCCCCCGTAGACACTAACGTGACAGGTACACCCAGGCTACAGGCTGGGACCAGGAGCTACACCCCCCCCGTAGACACTAACGTGACAGGTACACCCAGGCTACAGGCTGGGACCAGGAGCTACACCCCCCCCCGTAGACACTAACGTGACGGGTACACCCAGGCTACAGGCTGGGACCAGGAGCTACACCCCCCCCGTAGACACTAACGTGACAGGTACACCCAGGCTACAGGCTGGGACCAGGAGCTACACCCCCCGTAGACACTAACGTGACGGGTACACCCAGGCTACAGGCTGGGACCCGGAGCTACAACCCCCCCCCCTGTAGACACTAACGTGACGGGTACACCCAGGCTACAGGCTGGGACCAGGAGCTACACCCCCCCCGTAGACACTAACGTGACGGGTACACCCAGGCTACAGGCTGGGACCAGGAGCTACACCCCCCGTAGACACTAACGTGACGGGTACACCCAGGCTACAGGCTGGGACCAGGAGCTACACCCCCCCGTAGACACTAACGTGACGGGTACACCCAGGCTACAGGCTGGGACCAGGAGCTACACCCCCCCCCGTAGACACTAACGTGACGGGTACACCCAGGCTACAGGCTGGGACCAGGAGCTACACCCCCCCCCCCGTAGACACTAACGTGACAGGTACACCCAGGCTACAGGCTGGGACCAGGAGCTACACCCCCCGTAGACACTAACGTGACGGGTACACCCAGGCTACAGGCTGGGACCAGGAGCTACAACCCCCCCCCCCGTAGACACTAACGTGACAGGTACACCCAGGCTACAGGCTGGGACCAGGAGCTACAACCCCCCCCCCCCGTAGACACTAACGTGACAGGTACACCCAGGCTACAGGCTGGGACCAGGAGCTACACCCCCCCGTAGACACTAACGTGACGGGTACACCCAGGCTACAGGCTGGGACCAGGAGCAACAACCCCCCCCGTAGACACTAACGTGACAGGTACACCCAGGCTACA